GGCTTAAGTAAGAACCAATCTCACCTACGCATCAAAACCACAACGATAGTTTGTCAATTTGACTCCGTTTTAACCTTCGCAAGGACCGGGCATAGCCATACTTGGTTCAACTAAAGTTGGAGAAACTGTCACCCACAAGCCACCTCTGTGCAAAGCACGTTGGAGAACCGGTCTCGCGTAAGCGTACGCGTAATGTTGGTCTGGGCCGCTTCATCCAACAATATCGCCGAACCAAAGTATGACATGCTGGTAGGCAGTATGACTTATATCGCCCACAACTCACTTGTGTTCTATTCGTGCATATAACATCAACATATAAAACCTAGGCTCGGATGCCACTGTTGGGTTTCGTAGTAATTTCAAAAAAATTTCCTACGCACACGCAAGATCATGTGATGCATAGCAACGAGGGGGGAGTGTGATCTACATACCTAGTAGATCGACAACGGAAGCGTTTGGTTGATGTAGTCGTACGTCTTCACGATTCGACCGATCAAGCACCGAAACTACGGCACCTCCGAGTTCGAGCACACGTTCAGCTCGATGACGATCCCCAGACTCCGATCCAGCAAAGTGTCGGGAAAGAGTTCCGTCAGCACGACGGCGTGGTGACGATCTTGATGTACTACAGCAGCAGGGCTTCGCCTAAACTCCGCCACAGTATTATCGAGGACTATGGTGGCTGGGGGCGCCGCACACGACTAAGGAATAGATCACGTGGATCAACTTGTGTGTCTGGGGTGCCCCTTGCCTCAGTATATAAAGGAGCCAGGGAGAGGGGGGCGGCCGGCCAAGGTGGGCGCGCCAAGGGGGAGTCCTACTCCCATCGGGAGTAGGACTCCTAGTTGGACAAGGAGAGAGGGGAAAGAGGTGGAAGAGAGAAAGGAAAGGGGGGGCACCGCCCCCTTCCCTTGTACTATTCGGACTAGGAAGGGGAGGGGCGCGCGGCCACCTCTTGCTTCCTTCTCTCTTCTCCCTCAAGGCCCATGTAGGCCCAATAAACCCCCGGGGGGTTCCGGTAACCCCCCGGTACTCCGGAAAAATGCCGATTTCACCCGGAACGATTCCGATGTCCAAATATAGGCTTCCAATATATCAATCTTTACGTCTCGACCATTTCGAGACTCCTCGTCATGTCCGTGATCATATCCGGGACTCCGAACAACCTTTGGTACATCAAAATGCATAAACTCATAATATAACTGTCATCATAACCTTAAGCGTGCGGACCCTACGGGTTCGAGAACAATGTAGACATGACCGAGACATGTCTCCAGTCAATAACCAATAGCAGGACCTGGATGCCCATATTGGCTCCTACATATTCTACAAAGATCTTTATCGGTCAGACCGCATAACAACATACGTCGTTCCCTTTGTCATCGGTATGCTACTTGCCCGAGATTCGATCGTCGGTATTCCAATACCTAGTTCAATCTCGTTGCCGGCAAGTCTCTTTACTCGTTCTTTGATACATCATCCCGCAACTAACTCATTTTAGTTGCAATGCCGAGAGGGCCCAGAGATACCTCTCCGACAATCGGAGTGACAAAACCTAATCTCGAAATACGCCAACCCAACATGTACCTTTGGAGGCACCTGTAGTACTCCTTTATAATCACCCAGTTACGTTGTGACGTTTGGTAGTACCCAAAGTGTTCCTCCGGTAAACGGGAGTTGCATAATCTCATAGTTATAGGAACATGTATAAGTCATGAAGAAAGCAATAGCAACATACTAAACGATCGGGTGCTAAGCTAATGGAATGGGTCATGTCAATCAGACCATTCTCTCAATGATGTGATCTCGTTAATCAAATAACAACTCATTGTTCATGGTTAGGAAACATAACCATCTTTGATTAACGAGCTAGTCAAGTAGAGGCATACTAGTGACACTTTGTTTGTCTATGTATTCACACATGTATTATGTTTCCGGTTAATACAATTCTAGCATGAATAATAAACATTTATCATGATTATAAGGAAATAAATAATAACTTTATTATTGCCTCTAGGGCATATTTCCTTCAGTTCCATGTCTAATTGGCCTGCTTTGGGCGCTGCTTGCCTGCCAACTGGTTCACATGACAAGGTCTCCCGCACCTCGACACACTATGTCTACGCGATTAGTCTTCTGACGTCATGCAACACCTCTTGGCGGGCCATGTCTTCACTAATACACTTGGCATGTGGTACTTTCCTGGGTTAGATCCACAACACGCCCGTTGGCCATCAATAATAGCTTTCCACAACATTGGATGACCAGCATCTTCGCCATTGCGGCAAAGGTGTGCAAGGTTTCTTCTATCCTGATCATGCTCACGGTTTGGTCCATCTTGAAGGAGCGGATCACCGCAATCTTCGATAGGTGTCACCCCGGGTGTTGCTCGTTGTGTGCATTTCGTCAAGTCCGAGGCACATGACTGGGCTAGGGCTTCACGATTACACGCCCCCCCCCCCACCCCTCGTGGTCTCGTGTAACCTTTTTCAAGGCCTTTTTGGTCTTCTACATATTCTTCTGTCTATGAAATACATCGAGACACACTCATGCATTTTCTTGGAAAAATGATTGCAATTGTTATGTTTTTCAATATAGTAGCATGTGGTGAAAGTAAGACGCCCCTACAACATTGGACACGAGTAGGGCGTGTGATTCTAGGTTGTTGTTGTTTGGGGCCATTCATGCCTTTGTGTGCATTCTATTTAATGTATTTTGGTCCGCTGAAAATTGTCTTAATCTCTCCCATTTCTCTCAGTTATGTACATTATAGAAAAAAGCTAGATAACTGACATCATGTCTCTCTACATCTCTTTTGTCCTTAGACTGGAGTCACGAAACTTTAGGATTGAAGAAGTCATCATTGTCATCTCGCTATCGACGAAAACGTCGTCAGTTACTAATAGAACAATCCAATTAATGAGACACCAAGACGTAAAATGCAATGTTTAATTATTGATGGGCCGAGGATACAACAACACCTCATAAACATCCAACCAATGGTTGGTCCTCGACTTTGGGCTTATTTACATAATAGAATTTAAAATAAATAAGAAGAAAACATGGAATTGATGAGTCACCATATAATAATCTGAAAAACACAATGCTATTTAATATAATGAATTTGATAGTGCACTGAAAATTAATACTTGAAAACTTTGAGGAATTAAAAAAGAGAGCGAGCGAGAAAGACAAAAAGAGGGACATGAACGGACAAGGGAGAGATTGAGATAGAGAGTGCATTGAATTTCTCAAAAGGACAATAATGTGAATGATTCGCCGGTTATAATCTTGGTGACACGTCGAGGCCAGGTAACGGGTGATGACAGGTGAGAGGGGTTCGACAACCTCAATTCTTGCGGTGATTTGTGCCTAGTGATCAGAGGCGTCGGGTTGTAATCGCCGGGTGTTGTTTGTCTCAAGGTTTGTGTGTTTTGATCACGCCGTAGTCACCTTGTGCTTAGTACTGTAATCGTCAGGTGTTGTCCGTCTTAGGGGCCGCATGCTCTTTCCATAAACACATCAATCCGCGAGGCTTTTGCGTTTTATCGAAGAGAAAAACCGAAATGGGATTCCTACGCGACCACGGGCACATCGGTGCACGCTATCTGAACTCGATAATTCCAATCGTGTTATCCACATCACTCTTATAAATCGCAAACATAAAAATTCAAATCTTAAAATTGATGAGAACCTCTTTTTTTCAGATTAATAACTTGGTGGAAAACCGTGCGATCCAAAGATGCCCGAGCCGACCAGTGCTCGCCGGCGGCCGAACAAAGACGGTACATTTCAGGCTCCCCACGCCACATTTTCCATGGCCAGCAGACAGGCTCCTACGCCCTAGACGACGGCAAAATTAATAAATTTAACCTATGGACAAAATCAAATCACAAAATGAACTATCCGTGAAACTATTTCACGCGGTTGACCCTTTTGTATGACGCCCGACACGAAGGCGCCACACTACACTGTGCAACGCCTCACAGATAGGCGCTACACGCCTGGCCAGCGTCGCACCCATGTGATCCGAAAATTACTAAGTCAGTGTGCAGCGCCTGAGAGCTAGGCGCCACACTATACAGTGTAGCGCCTAGTTTATAGGCGTTGCACTAGTGGTTGCTTCATTTTGTAGTGCAACCACTAGTGCAGCGCCTGAGAGCTAGACGCTACACTATACAGTGCAACGCCTAGCTCGTAGGCTCTGCACAATGACTTATCAATTTTTAGGCTGTTTGGGGTGCAACGTTGGCCAGACGTGTAGCGCCTATTTGTGAGGCGTTGCACAATGAAGTGTGACGCCTTCGTATCGGGTGTCACACAAAAAGATCAACCGCGTGAAATAGTTTCACGAGCAGTTCATTCTGTGATTTGATTTCGTTCACAGGTCAAATTTGTCAAATTTGCCCTAGACGACAGTGGACTCCGGGGCTGCGTGTCCGGCTCGCCCAGAAAGATCGACGCTTTGCGCACCTGACCACAGCTGTACCGGAATTCCGGCACCACCACCCATACTGCGCCCGCGATCCTTCCCGGCAGCGGCAAGCCGGTCAATCCTCTTTCTCTCCCCCGGGTACGCGCCGCGCGGTTTTTTTTTTGAAAGTCGCGCCGCGCGGTTTGTTTGCCTTCGTCAACACACACCGTGTGTGAGCGAGCGTGTGCTGTGACAGCTTGTATCTACGTATCACTCACCCGCACGGCAAAAAAACGCAGAGGCGAGGGCCGGAAAAGGAGAGAAAATTCCTTCCGCCCCGCCCCCTAATCGCGCCGGGCAGTATAAGAGCACACCCCGCCGTTTGCGCCCCGCATCCAATCCGTCCGTCCTCAGCGCCGACGACACCGCCGGAGATAGCGGCCGAGCACTCCACCTCGAGCCAGTGAGTGGCGGCGGGAGGGGGAGGCGAGAAGAGTTGGTGGAGGAGGAGTAGGAGGAGCTGTGGGCTGTGGCTGGAGGAGGCGGCTAGCAGCTAGCCAATGCCGCAGGGGTAGGGAGGGGATACATGGGGGGAGGGAACGGCATCGTCGACGGCTTCCGCCGCTTGTTCCACCGCCGCACGCCCTCCGGCTCCGTGCTCGGCAGCTCCAACCAGTCCTCCGCCGGCGAGGACTCCTCCGACGCCGAGGCCGCCGAGGACCTGGATCTCGTGGGCCTCCGCCCCATCCGCGTCCCCAAGCGCAAGATGCCGCTCCCCGTCGAGAGCCACAAGAAGGTGAGAGGAGTACTCTGATGCTCTCTGCTGCTTATTCTCGATGCTTCCAGATTGGGACCCGGAGCTTCTGGCAGATGCTATCTCCATTTCTCGTGACCCTCGATTCGTCGTCACGACGAGTTCTTAGCCAAGATCGGATCTTTGCGGCACCTGCTTAGCTCAGATACGCCACTACCGTACAATACTAGCTTGCCTTTTCTTTTTCTTTTCTTTTCTTTTCTTTTACTATTACTAGTAGTTGACACGGCAGCTCGGCAGGCGAGCTTGATTCTTCGATCCAATTTCATATCTCCGGATCGATACGACGTAGGCGGCACTGCTTGTGATCGAGTTACCGATCGGCCTGCTGCTTGACTGATATGGGAAAATGTTATGCAAAACCGAATGTTGTTTCTTCAGAGATGCGTAGTTGGAGCATCTGCCGCATAAAGCCCGGTGCCCTTTGGGGCTTCTCTTCACACTTTTTTTTGTTGATTTTCAACTACTACGGTTGCTTTCAGCATCCGCATTGAACTTATCCGAAGGCTCATGTCCAATTTGTCCACTTGGTTCTACAGCGACTGAATCGGCTACTGATCAGTTAGGCTGACTTGGTCTGGACCTCGTGCTCAACTGCTCATGTCCACCTCACTCTTGCACCATGGTGGCTGCTTCCTTAGTTTCTCGGTAAACCTGACCATTTCCCTGATTGCTCATTGCTGAGAATGGTCCTCCACCTACCGGGCTAGACTTTTTCCGTTCTGGGGGTTCGGGCTGTGTGTTGTGGTGGTGGTACTCTTAAGATCTCTTTAGGAGCCCAACGACCTGGGGACTGGGACCGGTCTAATGGGATTGAGGATCCACATCGTTAAAAGAATGGTGTTTGGTCATGATAAATTATAGGTGAAGATATTGTATTTTATAACCAAATGTATTTATAAGCTTGTGCGTTTGCGTATGACATTCGCTTTCCCGTCGAATTGCTTTTACTTATCAACTATTGAAGTAACCTTAGGTTATTTTACTACTAAATATAGTACTTTAACACAATTCTGAATTCATTCTTCAGTTTCTTCAATCCAAAATGTTCCATACATGAGTAACCGGTTTTAACTTGCTCTTGTGAATTCTGGTCTTGTAGAACATAATGGAGAAAGAATTCTTCACAGAGTATGGAGAGGCAAGCCAGTACCAAATCCAGGAAGTTGTTGGCAAGGGGAGTTATGGAGTAGTTGCTGCTGCAATAGATACCCGCACCGGCGAGCGGGTTGCGATTAAGAAGATCAACGATGTGTTTGAGCACGTCTCGGATGCCACACGCATCCTCCGCGAGGTCAAGCTCCTTCGGCTGCTACGTCATCCAGACGTGGTGGAGATCAAGCACATAATGCTCCCCCCTTCTCGGAGGGAGTTCCAAGATATATATGTTGTTTTCGAGCTCATGGAGTCGGATCTCCATCAGGTCATCAGAGCTAATGATGACCTCACGGCGGAGCATTACCAGTTTTTCCTTTACCAGCTTCTCCGTGCTCTCAAGTACATCCATGGCGGTAAGTCAATGAATGCTAATCTCCATGGATCTGCTAGCCCATTTATTAGCACAATCTTTGAGTTGATTTACCAAATTGTGATTGGACTTCTGTTCATATTCTGACATATTTTGCTGTTTATCTTGGCACAGCTAATGTATTTCATCGTGATCTAAAGCCCAAGAATATACTGGCCAACGCAGACTGCAAACTGAAAATTTGTGACTTTGGACTTGCGCGTGTATCATTTAATGATGCTCCTTCAGCTATATTTTGGACGGTAAAGAGCTTGTCATTGTATGCCATAATTCACATTTTACTATAATTCTTACTTTTTGCATTGTTTTTCTTTGTGAAGGATTATGTAGCAACAAGGTGGTACAGAGCCCCTGAATTATGTGGCTCCTTTTTCTCGAAAGTGAGTTCTTCACTCCTGAACTCATAAAGTCTCATCCAAGCAAGATTAATGCTTTTGGAGCACTATATGTGCAGATGCTGTCTTTGGATTTGTAATATATTTATTGTGTTACATTTATATATCCCTATTGCTATTTTTATTTTTCTTAAAAAACTCTGTAACCTACAGCTTGTACTAAGTAAAGTACACATAATTAATGATTAAACAGTACAACAAGTTTTTGTTGTTATTTCTCATTGTAATTGTGCATACACCCAGTTCTTCTGTCAAAACAAGCTGCAAACTAACTAAATCAGTTGCAAATTAGACTAGTAAAATTCATGTAGAGACTTAGTATACTCTCTGTGCAAGTGCCAGATTCGTCCCATCGTTCTGATAAGCGCCCATTTTTGTGCAGTACACTCCTGCTATTGATATTTGGAGTATTGGATGCATATTTGCCGAGCTTCTCACTGGACGGCCACTCTTTCCTGGGAAGAATGTTGTACACCAGTTAGATATAATAACAGATCTTCTTGGAACTCCATCATCAGAAACCTTATCTCGGGTATGTTTGTTCCCTGTCCCTTATTTTTGCTTCATTCACTCACAAGGTACTTAAACATGTTGCATTTCACTAACAAGGTGAAACAATGCATTTCATTCCTGCTGCACCCTTAAGGGTGTGTTTGGTTCGGGAAGGAAGTAGAATGGAATGTCATGGTTCATTCCATTAGAATGGGTCGGTTCCGTCTTTGTGTTTGGTAGTGACAATTTGAAGGAATGGAATGGTTACATTTTGATGTTTGGTTTGTCAGATGGAATGAAATGGGTTTATTCATCTCACCATAAACTGAATTGGATTCCAGATCAGGAACTACCCAAATACCAAAGTCTGCATCTGATCTGATTGCTACAAGCAAAAAATGCAGCTTGCTAGTCCAGTCTTGACCGCAGCCTTGCTCCTCCAATCCAGAAGATCAACAGCGGCGGCCTTCCTGTCACCACGCCACACGCACACTTGTGTCTCCTCACGAACGGCGGCGTTTGGATCGCCTACTCCGTCAGGGGCAGCGCTTGGAGCTTCTGCTCCGTCAAGAGCGGCAGCGCGGTGTTTCCCAGTGTGACGCGCGAGTGCGGCGGCAGCGTGGCCTCCCAGCCTCGTTCCGCTGATTATGCGCAAAAAGAAAAAGCCTCGTTCCGCTGATGGATCTCCCGCCATGGAGCAGAGTGCTCGCCTCCTTCTTCCGCCAGATCCTTGGTCGAGGTGCGGGGTGGGGGAGGACGAGGGGCGGGAGACGCCGGCGAGGCTGCACTTCCGGCCGCCGCCATGGCCATCGAGGGAGAGAGGAGGGCACAGGTCGTGGTTGGCTGGGGCGCCAGGTGGGTGAGTCGGGGAGAAGGGGAGAGAGGCGCGAGTGAGGCGTTCCGCGTGGTCCGGCCGATTCGGAGGAACGCCCAGGTTCGGCATAAACAGGGAATATGCCGTTCTCTGGAATTAGTGGGTTCTGGTTCCTTCGCCAATCTAAACACAGGAACGGGCCCTCGGGATGGAACCGACCCGTGACATTCCGCTTCATGATAGAAACCAAACACACCCTAAGTAAAATGCATTGTAGACTGCTAGAGCAATTCCCCAAATCCCATCTAATTATATCTCTTGTGATATATGCTGGCCTTCATCTGCAAATTTTGCAATGGTACATTAGGTTACAGGAGTAATAACTTACAGCTGTCTATGACCATTGCAGATTCGAAATGAGAAGGCCAGGAGGTACTTAAGTTGCATGCGGAAAAAACACCCTGTACCCTTGACTCAGAAATTTCCTAATGCCGATCCATTGGCGGTTCGCCTACTGGGTCGTTTACTTGCATTTGATCCTAAAGACCGGCCTTCAGCTGAAGAGGTAAACTCATCTACATTTGTTTAACAGTTTCACAAACACATATATGTGTCTTGGTATGCTATAATTTTGTCGTGTCTGTAATTCTTCAGGCTTTAGCAGACCCATATTTTGCATCTCTTGCCAATGTGGAGCGTGAGCCATCAAGGCATCCAATTTCGAAACTCGAGTTTGAGTTTGAGAGACGAAAGGTTACAAAAGATGATGTTAGGGAATTGATCTATCGAGAGGTAAGGAGGCATAGCTTGGGTTTCCTATTTTGTGTTAATAAATATATTTATGTCTCTTGATAATTGATTATTTGTTATGAGAACAAACAGATTTTGGAGTACCATCCACAGATGCTGGAGGAATACATGAAAGGTGGAGACCAGATTAGCTTCCTCTATCCAAGGTGTGCAACGCGGACTTGCTTTAATTTTGATGCAAGTTATCAGACTTAATAAAATACACAGCTAACATATCTTTATATGGGCTATTATGACGCTGCAGTGGTGTTGACCGCTTTAAACGGCAGTTTGCACACCTGGAGGAGCATTACAGCAAAGGAGAACGAGGTTCTCCGCTGCAAAGAAAGCATGCCTCTTTACCAAGGTACATATGACACCGCAGTCATCAGAAATTAGAAGTGCCGAGCTTGTTTCTCTGATCTCGGTTATTCAGTTATTTGTGCTGAGTTCTGCATTGACTTGTGTGCAACAGGCAGAGGGTAGGTGCATCGAACGACGGTAATAATGAGCAGCATATTAGTGATCAGGAGATGAGTGCAGAGCCTGATGCCCATGGTGCAGTGAGCCCTCAAAAGTCACAGGATGCACCCGGTGTTGGCCAGAATGGTCTGAGCCCCACCAGCTTGAGCTCGCGGACCTACCTCAAGAGCGCGAGCATTAGCGCTTCCAAGTGCGTCGTTGTCAACCCGAATAAACAGCCAGAGGTACTAGTGCTGTACTACCTGAATTCTTCATTGATTATTGCAAACGACTAGGCATGGCATAGCTCTGCACTATCAACAAATAAGAAAGGATGGTGGTGCAAGTTGAACTCAAGCACTGACTCTTTGTTTCTATTATTGTTCAGTATGACGACGCGATCTCTGAGGAAACAGAAGGAGCCGTTGACGGACTATCCGAGAAGGTCTCAAAGATGCATGCCTAGTGCAGCAACGACGACGGAAGTCGGCACCGCATTTCTCATTTCTGTCAGGTACACCGGATGCTGATAGCTGATAGCAAAGCACTGCAAGTTGGAGATGGTTTAGCGGAGTGCATGTTCCTGTCAAGCGTCGTTGCTGCACGCAGGAGCTGGCCCTGCATGGATTGATGTATTTTTACACTCAATGTAACACTGGGATTAGTTCCTACACCTATCATCTATGCATGATTGTAACAACGAACAGAGCAAGACATCTTGACGCTGTCATGTTTCGCTGTCGAAAATTCTTAATATATCAAGAAGCGTTACTGCTGCGCATCTACTGAGTTTGGCGTTGAGTTTTACTTATTGTCGTGTTTGGATAAAAATTGCGATAAGCCGAACCCTGAGTGCAAATTTAGAAATGCCCAGTAGTATGTCTCAATCGATTTCAATTTGTACTCAACGCCGATTCTTAGGCTGGCGTGTAACATTGCTCCGCATCGACTCAAAATTCCACGTCGTCATGGCGGACATGGTTTTTTTCTTCTTCAGAATTTGTACTCAGGGTTCAGCTAGTCAGCCGAGCACAATTTCTTACCAGGACGAAGCCAGAGGTAGAATTGAAGGCTCAGACGCTTGGCGTGGAATTTGTTGCAGGTTTATACTGTATTTTTCAAGCAAGTGCCGCCTGAGAGCACTAGAATTTCCACGGAGTAGTACTGAATCCTGGACGGCAGCAGGTCTTCAATCACACTCGAATCACCAGCGCACGGAAGGGAGGTGTCAGAATGGATGGCTTCAGGGCAAACACCAGGAATTCCCGGAACGACGAAGCTTCAGAGCAAGCGGAGAACGTGGGGGGGTGGAGCCTCCGGGAGAAGACGAACCAAAACCACTCGACTCGTCGCCGATCTGCCCCGACACTTGGAGCCCGAGGCCGCTGAGGCGCAGCGACCAGACCCTGTTCTGGTCGGCGGACCAGCACTCCACGCCGGCGAATCCGCATATGTAACCCTTTGCTGTGGCGTTGTCGAACCTCCACCAAGGATCTCAGCGCGCCGCAAGCTCTTGAGGCGGCGGACGTCGGGCTCATCGCCGGAGCCGGAGCACGACGCTGAGCCCAGAGGAGGGATTTCTTCAGGCAGAGACTGTGATTGACGACGGCTGGTGTGGTAAAGTGAGCCAGCCCAAAAAACTCCTTCGTCGCGAGAATTGGGCTGGCCCACTTTACCACACCCAGCCATCTATGTTTTCTTTTACCGTTTTTCTGGTTTCTTTTTTCTTTCCTTTTTCTGTTCCTTTTCATTTTTTTATTCTTTTTGATCTCCCCCCTTTTTCATCTTTCATTTCTTTTTTCTTCATTTTTTCATAAATTGTTTATGTTTCTTTAAATTGTGCTTTCATTTTATTTTTGAAAATTTCAAAAACTATTGGGGTTTCAAAATTTGTTCATTAATTTGAAAATGCTCGGGATTTTGAAGAAATGCTCTTGCTTTTCAAAATTTGTTTTATAATGTCAAAAAATGCTCTCATTTCAAAAAAAAACCTCACAACCTCAAAAATGTGCACAATGTCAAAAAATGTTCGGGAAAGCCAAAAAAATCATGCCTTTCAGAAAACGTTTAGGATTTTTAAAAATGATCCCATTATCAATTTTTGTTCTCACATAAACAGGTATAATGCTTTTCGTTACAGATACGTGTGTACTGCTATACGAGCGTGAATACATGAATCAGACAAACAAATTTCCGAATCTTGACGCAGATCGATGACCCACAATCAACATGCTTCTGCCCCTGCGTGCCACAAATCCTCTCTCAAAGTTGTCCTTGTGTTTTGTTTTTGGCGAAGATCCTTGTTGTTGAATTTTCCAAGACTAATCTGGACGGGGGACGACCAGACCGGTCTTTTGTTCTTTTTGGGCGTGTAATAACATGGAAGGAAATTGTCCCATGGTCTGCGAAATACCGAAGAAAAGTCTAAGGCCACGTGGAGGGATTCTCCCTTTTAAGAGCTGTGGCCATGCAGTTCCCGGCACAAAGCTTCGAGCAGGCGACGCACCTGGCTGCAACTTAGAGCATCTCCGGCCTCGTCCCTAACAAATCCTTCTCAGACATTTTTTTCGTATCGGCGCCTAAAAAACGGCACAGTCGCGTCTTCAGGAATCCGTTTTTCGCCGGCTCGGGCCAAAATTAATGCCGGTGTACACAGGCCGAACCCGACGTGCTGGGGGGCGTCCGGGGGCGCCGGGGAGAGCGTTTTTGACGCGAAAGAACCGCGGGCCAGCCGCGTCAGCGAAACGGCGCCTCGTCTTCCCCTAGAGCTCCTCGGTTTCCCGCGGGGAATCAATGGCAAGGCTGCCGCCGGTCAGTCAGCCTTGCCATTGATTCCTCACGGGCGGCGCGACGCCGCTTCCCCTCCCGCCACGCGTACACACGACGCGGACTATAAGACCCGCCGCCCCCCTCGCCCGCTGGCCACACTAGCCCGAGCTCAAACCAGCCGCCGCGCCACCGAGCTCCCCCGTCTCTGCTCTCTCCCGTCCGCGCCGCCAAGCTCCCCCGATGACGACGACGACGACGACGAGGACGGTGGCAACGTCGGCGACTTCACCGCGCTCAGCGACTTCTTCGCCCCATAGATGTCTTTTTTTAATAATTTATGTACCGCCGAACATGTTGAATATTATTGTCAGGTTTGCCGAATTTAGCTGAACTTTGCCGAATTCAGATTTTTTAAAATAAAAAAAACCGCGTCTGGGGCGACCCTGGGGCGAGCGGCTGGGAACCCGCTCGCCCCCACGCCGATTTTAGCGCCGGCTCGCCCCCAGGGGGCGCGTAAAATCGCCGCCTGGGGGGCCAACGGCTGGAGATGCTCTTAGAAAGTTAGAAGGCCGCGCAGAACAGTTGTTTCCACTCCTTCACGTAGCAGTAGCACGTCTCAGAGAATGTCCGATGGTATGAGGAAATCCATCCTCTCGCTGATGCTCCTCTTGAGCTGCTGCTCAAGGCCGTGCTCCGGCTCCGGTGACGAGCCTGACGTCCGCTCACTAGTAGAAAACAGGGTTTTGGTCCAGGCCGGGCCAGCCCATTAGTCCCGATTCAGTCATGAACCGGGATCCATGGGGCAACGGGCCCGGTTCGTGAGGCCAGGGGGCCAGCCGGGTCTCGTGGGGCATTGATCCTGGTTCGTCTGGACCCTTTGGTCCCGGTTCCAGCCATGAACCGGGACCAATGAGATGTCTATATATACCCCCTCGCCCGCGAGCAGAGCACTCCACTGCTCTGTTTTTCTGGCCGGCTGTTGGAGACCTTTGTGGCGCTCTAGCTCACCTCCTATGCTCATGAGGTGTTCGATGAAATGCCCGAGCCATACTTAAGCTTTCTCCTCTCAAAGCTCCTTGTCCAAACTCCATTTTCCTCGAGATTTGTCTAGGTTTGGCAGTCCGTCCTGTCCCGTCCCCGTCCTCACCGCCGTCGATCGTCCGCGTCGATCTTGTCGCCGGCACCACCGTGGTGAGCCTCTTGATCTTATGTTCTTTCTAAAAAAAAAGTTCTTACTTGTATGATTTAGATAGATACTTGTGTAATTTTCTTACTTTTATTATTGTTTGTTATTATATAGTGCGATGATTTTGGTATCCGCCTTCGTCGGCCCTCGTCCTGTCTATGATTCAGATGTGGCATATATTATCTTTTACAACTATTTGGTTAATTTATTGTTTATGACATTTATGCCAACCAACGTGACATATTTTTTTTATCTAGGAGGTATGTGAACCGGAAGTTCCAACCGATTCTATTGTCGAGAGGTTAAATTTAGTTGAAGAAGAAAACAATTACTTGAAGAAAAAATAAAAAAAAATGAGGAGGAGAAGATGATATTGGAGTTGCGTGTTGCGGATGTCGTTGATGATCACAAGATCAAGATGGATGCAATACACTTGAAGATTAGAAAGATTAGAAAATATGCCATTCATACCGAGGCTTGGTATCACTATGCCATTGGATCAATTGTTACCTTGGTTGCGATTACGATCGCATTTGTTGTTGCATTGAAATGTTTTAGATAGTTTCAATGTATGGTTTAATTAGATTCTCTGAAGAGCTATATGTTGTTCAATGAGAACTATGTATGTACTTTGGTTTTAATATGATGATGGACTTCTATTAATTTGATCACTTATCTATTCATGATATTCTGTAATGGTTTTTGACACACTTAATTATATATAATGCACATACATGAACAGACAATGATTGACCTGCTCTCAGCAACCTTTCAGGACAGACAAACAAGGGATACCACGCATGCACGCTTTGTTTAGATGACACTGAAAGTATATACCTAGACAAATGCATGAAGAATGTGTACCTGGGGCATCGTCGATTTCTTCCGGCCAACCATCAATGTCGAAAGAAAGGCAAGCATTTCAAAGACGAGGCAGATCATCGGAAGAAGCCCGCCATCCGTATTGGTGATCACGTACTTGCTATGATCAATGATTTACAAATAATCTTTGGAAAGGGTCCCGACGGACTATCTGTTCTGAATGATGCTGAGGGATGCACACCCATGTGGAAGAATAAATCTATATTTTGGGACCTACCCTACTAGAAGGACCTAGAGGTCCGCTCTTCAATCGGCATGATGCACGTGACAAAGAACCTTTGCGTGAACCTGCTAGGCTTCTTGGGCGTGTAGGGGAAGACAGAAGATACACCGGAGGCATGGGAGGACCATCAACGTGTGCACGAAAAAGACGACATGCCTCCAAAGCAGTATGAAGGTCCTGCCAGTCACACTCTTACCAAAGAAGAGAAGGAAATCTTCTTTGAATGCCTGCTCAGTATGAAGGTCCCATCTGACTTCTCGTCGAATATAAAGGGAGATTGTCGTTCCAGAACCTAAAGTCTCATGACTGCCACGTGATTATGATGCAACTGCTTTCAGTTGCATTGAGGGGGCTTCTAACGAAAAATGTTCGATTAGCCATTGTGAAGCTATGTGCATTCCTCAATGCAATCTCTCAGGAGGTGATCGACACAGAAATCCTACTAAGGTTAAGGAGTGATGTGGCGCAATGTCTTATCAGTTTCGAGCTGGTGTTCCCACCATCCTTCTTCAATATCATGACGCATGTCCTATTTCATCTAGTCGACGAGATTGCCGTTCTGGGCCCTGTA